TTGTAATTTCGGGGCGGACCTAATATAGGTCACTACTAACAGTTCTTCTATCACTGCGTGCCTATTCGTTGTTGCTGAAACGTGTGTTAATTTCGTAGTAACGGCCTGGTTTTTTAGGCCGCGCCATAGCTCAAGCGGTTAGTGGTTGGCTTCTCACAGCAGCGGCCCGGGTTCGATCCCGGGTCTGGTCAAGTGGGATTTGTAGTTGACAAAGTAGCGCTGGGGCAGGTTTTCTCCGAGTACTTCGGTTTCCTCTACCAATCTTCATTCCACCAACTGCGCCACAATCACCCTCACCTATCATCTGGGGCTGGTACAATAGGCCAGAAGTGGCCGCAGTACAAGGGACTTAGTCCCACCCCACTAGCAATAAAAGAAAAAACGACCTGGTTTTCCCCAGAAGCCTATCTGTTATCACGGAAACGTGTACAGCAATGAACTATTCTGGCTTGCAGGCGTTATGTCACATTGTCGTCATTTTAACACGCCTATCTCCGATGTGGCTTGCTGCCTGGATTGCACTGTCCACAAGCTGTACTTAAGGAAACGGATATTCATTCTGAATTCATACACCTGTTCTTAATCTATGATACAACTTAATTCACTTCGACAAGGGGGATCTTCAGTAAAAGCCCTGACACTAATGTAGTTTCTTTTTGTAGGTTCAATAGAGCCTCTACTTTCAAGAAGGGTAATTGTCACTATAAAAAGATTCTGTGAAATAGAGGGAAGATAATGGAGCGAAAAAAGTATGTTATGAGAATGTTATGAATATTTCACAAAATATGATAAAAATATCTAGCTATTTGTAATGTGATATCTTAAAGCCAACAGCTTCACAACAACACAGCAATAAAAAATATATCTTGGTTTATGAGGTATGCAAAATCGTAAGGAATACATTTGTGCTCATTCCACTGAAACGCCAATTTATATTGTTAAATCTGGCTTGTAACATTTTGGATTACTTTAAAATAAGAATTCAGCGTCATCCTACTGATATGGGCTGCCACGCTGAAAGATCGGCGACCCATGGGTTGCAACCCGAACTACGATTTGTGTTTCATGTGCGCAAAGGGGTCGGAGAGGAGCTGTTACTGCTAGACTCTGCATGTGTTATGGCCATGAATCCGTCATCCCTCGCTTCTATCCGTCTTCTGCTTCGGGTTACATCGGCACTGCTTTTCGTCTGTCATCTACCCGTCTACACGTTGCCACTCAGGAAATGTGTGAAGACTTGGCAGTAGGGATGCGGGGAGGGTGGAGTTTCGATTCAAAGCGCAGGATTTAAAAATAGCAAGTGCAACTGCTTCGGAGTTCGAAGGCGAGAGAACGAAATAAGGAAGGGACTAAGAAACATACACGTACAAGTGAATTGTGGTACGTTCATTTTCGGACTGTTTTCTTCCTTGACCCCTAATACCACACTTGAATGAAAGGAGGATTAATGTATTATAAGGTGTTAAGCCGTGTAGCTTGGTAGATAATTAGCAACTTTTCAGAGGAACCTGCGCCTTCATCCTCTATTATAGAGATGGATTCTATGCGGAGGACAATGATTCTAACAAAGCAGTAGAAAAAGTAACTGAAATATATTTTAGGCCAAAATTAGCATTAAAACTCACCAGTTGCTTAGCAAACTTCCGTCTTGTCTACAAATGGAGAATGCTCCCCTTTATTTCTAAAAGTCTCATTGCCGGGAACAACCAACAAATGAAACTATGCTAGTAGACTTATTTTCATTTAGGGACACAATTATTTTCCCAGGGACATCTTTTGACGGCTGCAAGATGTCACCCATTCGAATAGTTAGCTACTTTGATATATGTGAAATGCCACAGGATGACGAAATAACTTTTTCATTGTAAAAAATATAAATTCTACAAGTAGGCCTATCTGTATAGCACAGTTTCAGGAATTAATTTTCGAATATTTCAATTCTATAGAGGCTAAGCACTTAAATACGTAAAATATTACGGCAGTGGATTGAGATTTCGAAAATTGGGTTGATTTGAATTGCTCATGTGATCAAGATCTGAAGCAAAACTTCATCAGTGCATCGCGAAGTCGCGATTCATTGATCCCTGTTTCAGTTTCAGTGTGACATAACAAGCCCTAAATAACACTAAAATTAGACCAAACATTCAACACAACGCACTAACCCAAAGTCAACCAGCCAGTTATTCAGAGGCCCTTAAAGGGAAGAGAAACCAAGGAGAAGCAAGGGAAAACACTAACAACGAACCAAAAAGAACTAATTTGTTAACCAAATTTCTTGAAGAATTTAAAGCAATATTCCAACAACTCACCCAACAAAACAGCCTGATATTAAACATGCTATCAACGTTAATATCTAAAATTCATTGAATTCCTTAGAATTGCACGGTGGAACGCCAACGGCCTTCTGCAGCAAAAACATGAACTAGAGATATTCCTGCAACACAACTTCATAGACATAATGCTGATAAGTGAAACTTATTTCACTCATAGATCATACTTCAGTATACCAAAGTACTTAACACACTCTACTAATCATCCCGACACTACAGCACATGGAGGAACTGCTATATTAATAAAAAGAGCTGTTAACTATTATGAGCTGCCAAAGTACAAACTAAAGCACCTACAGACCACAGTGATAAGAGTAAAGATGACCCTATATGAGTTAACTTTTGCTGCAGTTTACTGTCCACCAAAACATATCATCAAAAAAGAGAATTTTAATGATTTCTTTCAAATTCTGGGGCACAAATTTGTAGCAGGCGGAGATTATAATAGCAAGAACACCATATGGGGATCTCGCATAATAACGACCAGAGGCAGAGAATTATCAAAAACACTACAAGAGCAAAAATATTCGCACTTGTCAACTGGCACGCCGACATGCTGGCCAACAGAACCCAACAGAACCCCTGACCTCTTGGACTTCTTCGTTACTAATGGAATTTCTTCAGAATCCATGGATGTGGTACCCAGTTTCGATCTCTCCTCAGATCACACACCAATCATAGCCACTGTCAGTAGCCATGCTATTCACAAAACACCAAGAAGTAAACTGCACAATAGAAAAACGAATTGGGAAGAACACAGGATGTAACTACAAGCAGATATAAATCTAAATGTGAGGCTCAAGAGCCCAATGGAAACGGACAGCGCAGTAACCTCTCTAATCAGCACTACAAAACAGGCAACCCAAGATGCTGCACCTAAGATCACCTTCCAAAATAACACAAGGAATGTTCCAATTGAAATTAAAAAACTCATAGCTGAGAAAAGAAGAGCAAGAACAAGGTGGCATAGAAGTCAAGCTCCAATAGATAAAACAACATATAGCCATACAGGTAATGGGCTGAAGTGTAAAGAGGCAAGAGAAAGATCCTTCTGTAACTACATAACCAGCCTCAACAGATGACAATACCATCTGAAAACCCATTAAACATTTAAAGAACCCCAAGACACAGATACATCCCATAAGAAATAAAATGGCACCGCAAACATTGTGGGCAAGAAGTGATGAAGAAAAAGCAGCTATGTTCGCTGAATAGCTTGCTACAGTTTTTACACCATATGATGACCAGACTGATAAAGAAATAGAAGGACAAATATCTGAAAAAATCAGCATTTACCAGAAATACAATTTTTTACAGTTAAATAAGTGCAAAATGAAATAGCACTCCTAAATTCAAGAAAAGCAACTGGCATTCATGAAGTGACTCCCATAATGTTTAAAGAAATGTCAAGAAAAGGGTTGGTACTCCTCACATATATATTTAATGCTATTCTCAAACATAAATACTGGCCAAATCAGCTAAAAACAGCAGAAATAATCCTGATCCTCAAACCAGGCAAAAATCCTAATTGTGTGTCATCCTATCGTCCTATAAGTTTATTACCCATCATATCTAAGCTCCTCGAAAGACTTCTCTTAAAAAGAATAAGGTCTGACCCAAACACAGAAGAATGGATACCATCACATCAATTTGATTTTAGAGAAAACCACTCCACTGTACAGCAGATACATAGAATAACTCACAAAATACACTAAGCAATAGAAAATAAAGAATACTGCACATCAGTCTTCCTCAATGCAAGTCAAGCCTTTGACAAGGTATGATATCCAGGACTACTGTACAAAATCAAAAAATTACTGCCCATCACTTATTTCCACTTACTAAAATCCTATAGAAGTGGCAGAGGGTTCAGGACGAGAATCAATTATAGCATATCTAACAATTTTGCAATAAAATCAGATGTACCACAAGGCAGTGTCTTAGGCCCACTACTTTATTTACTGTATACAGCAGACCTACCAGTCAATGCCAACACAACAATGGGCACATTTGCGGATGATACCCTGATCCTCTCAGCCAACACAGATCCAGCAATAGCTACCTTCACTTTGCAAAATCATCTAAATCAAATACAAGAGTGGACAAATACATGGAAAATAAAAATCAATTAACCAAGTCAGTGCAAGTAAACTTCAGTCTAAGAAGAGAACAATGTCCTGCAGTTTTCTTTAATAACATACAAACACCTGAATAACCCAGCACAAAATACTTAGGTATTCATCTAGACAACCATCTAACCTGGAAGGAACACATTACTAAAAAACGCAAACAGATTCATTTAAATATGTAAGTTTTGTAAGTTTTGAGGTTTTCTTCAGATTCATTTAAAAATCAAGGATACGCATTGGTTAATTGGAAGAAATTCCAAACTCTCATTAGACAAAAAATCTTACTTTACAAAACAATAATAAAACCAATCAGGTCTTCATTTGAACTACAAACTTCGAAGAATGCAGTCGAAACTTGCAGCCTTTGGCATATATACCAGTATGTATGGTTGAACAGTGCTCGGAAATAAAACACATTGCTGACAACTCGTCTGGCAAAAAAAAATGTCGGACAATGCTGTTTCGAGGAGGACAAACCCAAACACTGATATGAGGGATTATTATATCACGGTAGGAGTAAGTTAGAAGTGGTTGTACTCACTCACTGGGCCCACTGCATCTCCGAATGACGGCGCTGTCCTCAGGATACTACTGCAGCCGTTGCGTAGTAGTCGCATCCTTCGCTGGCCACAGTAATTCTTTGCTATTTCCATGCTTAGTTTTCATGCTTCGAAGTATTTCAAAACTTGTGGTAAATAAATCTGAAGTCACTACACTGTTTCCACGACACTGACAGCCGACATTTGTAACTTGATATAGGCCGCTTGTTGTGTGGGGGTTAGTACCCAGACAAGGGCCCATGAACCTCAACCACAACCGCACTTTCACAAAACATTTTCAATTTAGTATCACACGCTTTGTGGTCCACTATACTGTCGGATTGAGAATGGTTTTTATTCTCTTCAAAGCAACAGCTGAATAGAATACAATTAATGCATGGAATAAATAAACGTTATGAATAATGTAAAATAATAAGGACTTCATATATGAAAGCCTAAGCATTAAAAAGTCCTCAGTGGCACAGATGCAAGAAATTTCATAAATTTGGTAATAAACCGTAGTAGTATTTTTGTTACTAAGATTTCTGTATTCTGGGATATGAAACCATGTAATCCGTTGAAAATCAACAGACTTTTCGGAGGAGCATTTCGCCTCCATCTTCAGGGTCGAAGGGTGGGCCAAGCAAGAAGCCTGTGTGAAGGCAGGTTGGCATGCAGAGCTTATTCTTAAACCTTGAAGATGGAAGCGACATGATCCTCTGAAACATCTACTGATTTTCAACGGACTACACAACGTTAAAACCCTGAAGATAGATCTCTTCAAAATCACCGCCATAAGATCCTCAAATCCTACATATTTTTGTTACGTGCGGCTACTTGTGGTTCATCCTTTCATTGAACCAGCTGGAAGATTATTCAGTTTTATCAACTCGAAACACCTACATAAAATTTATTCAATTACATCAATATCAGAGGCCCAGATTATGCGAAGGAATCTATATAAACTATTGTTCTCCGAACTGTCCAATTTGACCTTCCTCATCAGCTAGTCGAATGGGTGGAAGTCTATAGGTGATTACAGCAAGTTAGTAGGTTAAATATTGTGCACATACTTTGAGAAAAATGTAAAGTTCCTTATAATAAAATATCCTAATTTAATTTGTCTCTCTCGGATCTGAACACTCATCTCTACAGTTGATTTCCGAAATCTTGTAAATTATTTATTTCTTAAGATTTTAAAGCATAGAGTGGCCGAAACATTCTTAACGAATCTCACTGAAATAAATGATCACTGAATTCGAGGAATTCTGAATAACACTTACGGTTATACCATTCAATTTAAGCACGATGTAACAGGAGGCTTATTAAGAAGCAAACATCACGAAACCGACATTTGTGTTAACCTTACAAGTACTTAAGAGCACACTCTCATAATGTTTACAAAGCAAACACTGAACATTCAATCCATATACTAGTGTGAATACTTGTTAAAAACTTTGCACAATGCCACTTTGACCAAGATATTGCACGGCACAACATAAAACTGATCCAAACTGATCTTACAGCGATAAAGCCATGGGCAACTCATGTATATAGTCGAAAAATATGTAACCTGAGCTGAGACCGCTGAGACACCCAACGACACTGATGCCTTTCTCGGTAGAACAAGAACTCGAATTGTCTCGAACATAGTAATGAAAAAACATCGACTTTACTGCCATCTGTGTTTGCCTTAAAATAACACAGAATGTAATAGTGAGTTTTCATAATGCACTGAAGTATAATGTTTCTTACATCATATTCAATGAAAGTTCGGCTTCATGTCCCATGTTGTATATTTATGTGAGCAGATCTGTTTCGTCAGTTATATCTAGGAAATCAATTATGATAGAATAATAGATTAAAAATAAATGACATCTATAATTGTCAAAGGGCTTCCAAAGTTCAATGTCTCAATCATTTAGTAACAATGGCTTTCGCGAAAAAAATCGTTTGTTCCAAATGTTTTGCAGCTAGGCTGCTTGTATCGAGGCAGGATGTGAAGAGCTGGTAGCAAGAAATGTCGAAATTCATTTGTATTACTTGCTGCAGTAGACTTGTGCTAGGAAAGTTCTGAAAACCTGCGGGAAATGGAGAAAATGCAGGATTCTTTAAACTACAAGAAGTTGCTAGGATACATTCTCGGTCGAATTCCATGCTGTATTATCAATGAATGCTGACTCCTTCAGAATTAACTGACATTTGTAAAATAATAACAAAGCGAAAAATTAATTCTGTTTCTAACACCGGTTCGAATCAATTAATTAAATTTAAGTAATTTCTTAATATAGTTACTTGAAATATAATAAAACAAAATTTTAAGGCTTTTGTGTTAGTTTTACATCTTCAAATGGTGAAGTACAAATTGTCTGATTTCACAAGCACGTTCCAGGTCTTATGTAAGAACTGGCTACCCAAAAATTTGTGCCAGAGAAATATATTTTCTAAAATCTGAGTCAGCGAGAAAAATTATAAATATGTCTATTAAATGGCCTGTTTCATAAAAAGTGATGGCATAATCTACTTAATAATATTAATTAGACCCTATACAAATGGATTGAAAAACAAGATGAAGAAAAAATGGAACTGTACTCAAACGTTCATTCCTTTCAGTCTCACTCTGAACCAATAAGTTTATATTTTCTTTTGTGACACTACATAGAACGATTTTCAAATAAGGACCCAATGTTAGAAATGTTCCACCAGAATTTCCATACACAAGTTTAAAAAAATATTACGCAATTATTTTTGGGATATACAAGACAGAATGAACACAAGAAATTTTTCTATGGTTCATGTCCCTCTGGTTCCCCGTTAGACTTCAACAGTCGCTACGCTAATCTGAAATTAAAATTAATCATATTTATGAGCTAAAAGAGAATATCAGCGCATAATCGGATACAGCACGGACTGATATGTTGGTACTCCGCCTCTTCCTATATTGCTGGTTCAGATATTTTATACAAAAAACAAAACTCGGTGGTTTTAGTCCGCAAGCGAAATATACCGACCGAGCCAGCGCCGTTTGTCGGCGAAGTTAGTGCCAACATTAGCGGATTGAGGGTGTCGCGTGGTCAGCGCCACAGCAAAAAAGAATACCTGAAGTCAATTATAGAGCTCTTAAGGCTAGAAGAAAAAAGATTTCTGCAAGGCGTCTGTTACTTCATAAACAGCATTCCTCTAAAGAAAGCAGTCTTCTGGGATGTGGACCGTGTAGACGTGGTGTTAACACATCCCAGAAGACTGCTTTCTTCATAGTCACCGCCGTGGAAACCTCAAATCTTACATTCCTATATTTATATAAAATAGATATGCAAGAAAAGCGAAAAGAAGTAATTGTACTGATAATTAACAGTAACTCTCAGATTTGTTAAGATCTACACTAAGAATCGCGGGGTTACCGCTACGATAGAATGAGATGTTTATAACAATGTGCTGCAGAAGGCCGGATGGGCATTGCCTAGGCCTTCAGTATTTACAGTATTTTTTATACAAAAAAATTTCATGGCAGCTAATTTCGGTTTTCTAGACTTGAGCCGCTATTTCCTTGAAATAGCTTCTCAATTATCATCACGAGGCTGAGCGGACACCGTTCCAGACCCAGTACTTCTCAGGAAAAATCTGGTAGCGCCGGAAATCGAACCTGAGACCTCTTGATCTGTATCCAGGAAATCCGACCACTAGACCAACGAGGCGGTCTTCAGATATCTTATAGCAAACACAAATTCACCGTTTCAAAGCTAATCAAGCGACATATATCACGTTACATACAGCTAGAAAACAATTTTTACCTTACTTTCTTTACCTGGAAAATTAAAATTAGGTTTTTGAGATCCTCCTGATCACCCCGTCAGCTTCTGAATGCCTCAATCAATCTTTATGAAACTTTGTATGTTTATCATGGCACCTGAGCCCATCTCAACAGCGTACTTCATAAATCCCTCCCATCAGTGTGTGTGTCTCTATGTGTCCTACCGTTGCCAAGCAACGACCAGATAAGAACGTTAACGATGCAACGAATACACAAGCAACAATAGAAGAATTGTTGGACGGGTCATTTTCTATATGTTCCATGTCATTTCAAAGGAAAGTATGCTATTAATTTTTCACAGAGCGTCTTGCTTCTTATATTCAGTTAAATATCCACTGTATTTCTATCATTTCATGCGGAAGTTGTAGGCCTTTATGAGATCAATGTTTTATATCGCGCACTACGTTTGTATACTAATGAGTCATCGTGAAAACTGGTAAGTTCCAGCTGAGTTCCCTTAATGTTACATTGTTTTAAACCTTCTCTTGATTCCCATAACGTTAAAACAGTAAGAATTCTCCGAAACCCGAAAAATTGTCTCATTTTATGTAGTATAATATTTATTTGCATTTCATTTGAAGATTCCCATTACCTCAGACTGCGGACCTACAGCGTCAGCTCACAGATTGATATCAGTTGAAAAGTGCAAGAAAGAAACGTATCATGATATGATTCGTGTTGCTGTCCCCCTATTTTTGTATAGGACTACGAATTTTACGAAATGCGTGAGAATACCTGTGCCCCGGCTGACATCCAAACCAACGCGTTACCAATAGACTCTAACGAGTTCTGATTGTGGTGTATAATACTCAGAATGACTAGGTTTTTGGATTTTATCTATCGCCCGGTATTCTAGAAACTAAACATAAACTTTCGGAAAGAGAATCTGTTTCCGTCCTCATGTGGAGGGGGGGGGGAAACACTTGCTCTGTTAGGTTCTTTAGAAAAACAGCTTTTCTAAGGGAACCGACAGAGAAGGATCAGATCAGGTTTCCGAAACGTTGCTTTCTAGTTTCTAAAATACAATAGGCAAAGTCCAAAAACCCAGTAACCTTGAGTAGGACAAATTACCACCGATCGGACAAACCTGGGCAGTTTTAACAATTCAGATGAATGGCTACAAATGTGCGTGCATTTTTCTTTTACCAGCACATCTAAAGACGTAATGAATTATGAAACACCGTGTTTTCATGAGACAGAAAAATCGAACTGACATCATAATCATTCTCATTTATTATTCACAACTAAAAGCTATGAGACCACTTATGTTGTCAGGGATATCTGGGGTCCAAGCATCTCAAGTATTTAATTTCCGAAAGTTGAAGAACCTACTTTAAGACTCTGGGGCCCCGTCCTCAATATTTCGCATGGTCAAATACTGGAGAATGTTTGTGTGCGTTTTTCTGTGTTTGTGTACAGATAGAGGCCTTGCGACGAGCTGATCTCTCGCCCAAGGAGTCCTACCGCATGTGTAAGATCTAGAAGAACTGAAGTGAACGGAGTTCATGGAGGTAGGCCTAGGCCCACTGGGGCTGTAGTGCCAAGGGGGAAAAAATAGAGGAGAAGAGTGAACAGTTCATACTAATAATTTATCGATGAAAAAACGAAAACCAAATTTAAAATCTCATTCTTTATAAAACGGAAATATTTAGCCAAATATGAAGCCAAAAATATTTTCAGGTAAATTTAGCTCGCGGACCAGCAGCGGTTCTTAGGCTACCGGTTTATAAACTCTTGTAGTAAGACTTATTCTATCGAATATTGCTTTCACCAGCCAATTTTATGTGTAGACTTCTCTTCCAATAACAAACTCTGTAGAAATCTTTCAAGAACGTCCAGTGATGAGACATGCTCTTGGACAGATGGACATATCCACTCCATTCTGCGTTTATTTGATGCACTTCGTGCAAATAACTCATAAAACTAAAATCCATTTATCTATAAAATACAATCCAGTGCTGCCTGGATCGTAACAGGACCTGAACCACTGCGTCGATGTCACAAAGTTACGGTCAGTTTTATTGCCATTCTAACCGGTCTTATATGTCCAATCGTCAAATCTAACAACTCGTGAACGTGGCGATTTTATCGCGCTTGCCGAGGGTAGAAACCTTTCGTTAACACGGGCATTTAGTTCCCCATATTTGCTACACCAAAAAATCAAACTTTCTTTTCCGTCCCATCTCTTCCCAGCTTGCTCGGAACTGCTATAACTTTCTGCGTCTCCAGTATATATATATATGTGTGTGAGGCTGGGGTAGGGATGTACGTTGACTTGTTGGCTAGAGGAATGGAGCGCTTTAGCTATAAATTAGAAGAAATGAAAGACAAATCGCGGTCGGTGTGTCTGGAACTGTGATTGGTGCCTCCCATCAGGCGCCAGCCACGTGATGAACTGCCTCAACTCAAACCTCACTCCCGTAACTGCAGCCAACCATTTCTTTTTATATATTTTAAAAAAATATGTTCACTCTGACGCAAATTGTGGACTACTCAGACTTCAGGCTCCTCGGATTCAAGTTCTGCACACAAGCACATCAGCTCCTCGTTTTGCGAGAGAAAACACTTGGTCAACACAGTTTCGTAAAAAGAAAACGAATTCCTCATTCATTTATTTACTAGTTTCTATCCTTATAACGGGTCGTGATGGCCCATAGGGTTTTGAGACGTCGAAGTTCTCACATTCTCTTTAGACAATCGGCTTACAGATGGCGGTAAGGTTGTCAGCCCTACGCGCCGGCTGCCCTTTACCACAAGAAAGAGTAGTGGTACTCATCTCT